TTTTTCTCCATTATCAGCTCTGTGCTTGTACTGAACAATGTTGGTAATCATCAGTGCCCAGTGTTGATCTAATGCAATGCTTTACAATCTTGGTTCCCCAGACATTCTTGGACTACAACTTCCAGAAGCCTTCACAACTCTCTGTGCTGGCAAGGGCTTCTGGAAGTTGCAATCCAAGAATGTTTGGATTCCAAAGGTTGGGAATCACTGACTAAGGCCCTGTATTTGCTCTTGGTTTGACCAAACTCATGGATTTGACCCAACTCGTGAGGCAGTGGAAGACAGGAGGGCCTGGCGTGCTCTGGTCCATGGGGTCACAAAGAGTCAGACACAACTTAACAACTAAACAACAACAATTTGCTCTTGGTAACACAGGAATATTATTGTTAACTGTTAAGTGGCATGTTGCTGCACACTAGAGATCTGGAGCCATAAGTCACAAATATCGTAATTACTGTACCAAGTTTTCTCAGGAATGCTGGTTTTTAATTTATAGATTTTTAAAAATATGTTTCATTTTGGCTTTTTATCTTAATATAGGTTTAATTGTTTTAATATGATGTTTATATGGTATATTAAAACTGTTTTTAGTTTTATCAGTTGTGAGCTGCCTTTGGTTCCCTATGGGGAGAAAGGTGGCTATTAATTAATTAAGAAGTGCATGAAAAAGTTACATTGCACAGTTACCATCCTAAATATTATAGAGATATTTCGTTAGGATCTTTTTCAAGTATTATATCATTCTCTTATAAGTTATGAGGGTTTTAAAGATTTGTAATGAAAATTAATAAAGAAAGGAATGAGTAACACAATGAATAAGGAAATGGATCACCTTTCTACAACTTTACAAGAACAAACCATTTTTCAAACACTGCTGCAATTCAAGGAAACAAATTACTTTTGTAAAGCAACATGGCAAGCTCAGTATAGGCTCGCATATATTTGTATTGAAATGTCCTGTGAACCAAAATAAGGCTGGTCAAAAATATGGTCCTGAGGACTTATGTGCCCCACCTGTTTGTGTGGCCCTCAGCCCCTGTCCTTCCCTCAGTTCTCATATACATTCCCCATAAAAATTAGTAAGTTTCTGCTCCAGCTGTCGGGAGCTGTGATTCACCTTTTTAATAAGTTGTAGCCCCCTGCACCATTTAATACAAAAACCTATTTCCCCCCCCCAAAATAAACAAACAAATAGAAATAGAAATAACAAAAATTCTGAAAAGGGACTTTTAGCTACTTCCCGTTTCATTTGGGGGAAGGGCATTTGTAGTAATCATGGGGAGAGAAAAAATGGCATCTGGCATCCACCAGAATTTCCCATCTCTGAACTAAAGTGGACAGCAGATTCTATATATATTTAAAAAGGTGTGGTGGGGGAGGGAGGGAGGGAGGGAGAGAGAAAGTGGGGGAAGAGAAACTCTTCCATAAAGGGCCACTAGCCTGCAGTTATATTGGTGAGCCCCTGCCTGCTAAAAAGGAGAGAGCCTTTTGGAATTCCAAGCCAGCTGTTCCTTGTGGTGAATTTGTCACTGTCACTTGAATAACTTAAGGCACCACTTTGAGGCAAAGTGCTTTTAATGAGTCTGATTTACTCTTACAGCCCTCCTGGCACCTTCTTTGCTGTGGTGATGTATTTCCTAAAAAAAAGGAAATATCAGTACAGTATTTTATTTTATTTTTCTTATGTAACAGCATCCTTAACTGGCAAGAATGATAGTCGAGTCCATTCTGAATAATTCATCCGGAGAGTGCAGGCTGAATAAATTTCTCTGAAATAAAGCAGTTGCTAAGCTTAGTGTTTGGGAGTTTCAATAATGCAAGTTTCCTTATCCTTCTCTCCAGGGAGCTCTGCCACTCACATATTTTGGAGTATTGCATCTTAGGAAAAAAAAATCTGGCCATTCTGCCTTTTTCTGGACATTAAGGAATGGATTAAATGGGACGGGATGGATTAATGCTGTCATTTGAACAATATACAGAATTAAAAATGATTGTGGAAAGATGTACAAAACCTAAGAACATTTAAACATTACTTGATTTTCCCTATTAAATGAAAATGGTTGGCATGTTGGGAATTCTCCAGGTAGGGGGAAAATTCTGCTGTAGCTCATTGTGTCTTTTTGTAGAAGAGATGAGAACCTACTGGGTTTCATATTGAAACTACAGTGCTTTAGCCATAAGTTTAAAAAACACTTGTCATCAAAATCCTGGGAAATGTTCTTTCCTCCTGAAACTTTGCTTCTGGAGCTTTTTGAAAAAAATATATATTTCTGTGCTAATTAAGAGTTCCACAGTGAGAGCCTCTCACACAGAAGTGAGCTGTATGGGAAAGTGCTCTGTAGCTAATCTCTGTGCCGGGAACAAAATAAACAATGCCTGCTGGAGGAACAAAAACCCTGGAAAGCCACACAAGGACGAATTTACGATATTGGACCGAGTCTTGTGTTGCTGGGTGTCAAACTACAGAACTGGGTGTCAAACTACAGAAACCATCAGACACTTTAGCTCTGTCTGGCTCCGCCATTAGAAACTTCCCTTTATGCAACACCTAGTTTCCCCATGCCAGGTGTAGACCTTGTATCAGATGAAAACTGAAGCTGCTATCTTCTGCAAAGTTTCATGCAGATAAACTCTACCAAATAAAACTGGAGTTGCTGTTCAGTAAACATGCATGGAAGTGTGCTTTGAGCATGCTTTCCAAAGTAATTAGACGTGGTTTATGACCCCTCTTTCTGACTGAAGGTCAATCTGAATTTATAGGAAGGTGCATAGGAAGAAAAAGAAAGCTTTCTGTCATGGAAAACCTATGTACAAGCTGTGAGAGCACATAATTAAGAAGAAAAATAAAAACATCTTTTTTAACGTAAATGAGTCTGTCCTTTTGGTTGGGATTAAGGATTGAGAGTAGAAAAAAGAACCTAAATATCCACAGTTGCTCTTAAGTTTCTAAAATGTGACTTCCTCAATGTGAGGGACAAAGAGTTACTAGGAACAATGTGGAGCCAGTTTTGTTGCATATTTAGAGATAAAGGATCTGAGTCCGTGTGAAAAAAATGTCAATTATTTGCAAGGAGAAACATTACAGGGTGCAGTATTGACTCTTCTGGAATCTTGTTCAGGTACCCAATTTGCTTTCTTCTGTAGGGGTGCCTCTTTGCTTCCAGTATGATTTAGTGTACAGTATTTATAAATACATGTGTCAAATTACTTTCAAAAGTAATTTCCGTTCAGAGGACTTTCACCCAAATGAAGCAAACAACACTTTCTTCAGAAGTTCAGAGTGGCTTATATTATAGTGTGTTTAGATTTGTGGCCTTAATGCTATAGCAATGTTTCCTCATTTTTTATTTTGTGGGGATGCATGCAATATAGATTAAAGTAGCATTCATATGAGCCATTGAAAATTGCCACAGAGTCCCCTCCCCATTGTGTTTAATTGTTCTTCTGTAGAAGTTGCTTTTGACCTGTTATTTGCTGCATTGATTATAGCTTCTTTTATTTACCTCTCTTTCCTTTTTTATGTTTTATTAATGGGAACCACTTTGAAACCATTATGGTTGGAAAATTGCACACGTATACTAAATATATACTCAATCAATGAATCAGTTTATTTCTATTATAAGTGAATCTTGTTACAGTACGATAAGAATTCCAAAGAGAATTTTTCAAGAAATAAATACTTAAGAGAGTGGTACCTCAACTTGAGAACGTCACTACATAAGAACAATTCGAGTTAAGAATGGCTCTGTTCACAAAAAGTTGCTTCGACTTGAGAACGGAGCCTTGACTTAAGAACCAAAAATGAAAATGAAAACGTTTCCTGCCCTTTTTTGATCTAAGTTCACCTTAGGTCAAAAGAAGAAGAAAATTCCCTCCTAGTGGTAGATATGGATTAACTGTCTTTGCATTAGTTCCTATGGGAGCTAACGCTTCGACTTAAGAACAGCACCTTGACTTAAGAACAAAAAACAGCAAATATGGATTAAATGGTTTTCAATGCATTCCTATGGGAAATGGTGATTCGATTTAAGAACGTTTCAACTTAAGAACGCAGTCCTAATACGGATTAAGTTCTTAAGTCGAGATACCACTGTACTTCATTTGAACTTCCTGAATACTTCATTTGAACATACTAATTACTTAAGTTGAATTTAAAATTATGCCATAAAATAGTGCTTTTATTAATATTTGAGAGCAAACAATGGAACTGGACGAGAAAGAAACTGATCATGAACTTATTAACTGAGGCTAAATAATAGCTGAGAATTGGGAAGGTAAATTGGATTTTCAATGAAATGAATGGTGTAAAGAAATTTGGAACATAGCTATTAATGATAATTTAATGTGTAATAAAATAATATGCCATAAAATAGTGCTTTTATTAATATTTGAGAGCAAACAATGGAACTGGACGAGAAAGAAACTGATCATGAACTTATTAACTGAGGCTAAATAATAGCTGAGAATTGGGAAGGTAAATTGGATTTTCAATGAAATGAATGGTGTAAAGAAATTTGGAACATAGCTATTAATGATAATTTAATGTGTAATAAAATAAAATAGTTTGATACATAAGATTATTTTTAGAGATACATGGGGAGATTTACTGAATTTGTATTAACAAAGAGGAAGGGTTGTGGACTTTTGCAAGAGTCAATTATTTTTGGAAGGGGGATGGGGCTTTGTAAAGGGAGAGAAAATTGAATATCTCCATTGTTTCCAGGGTGGGTGGGGGGAAAGCACATGGATTTATAACTGTAATTATAATAGTAATGTTGTGTTTGTTAAATTGCTTCCCAGGGTTGTTTCTTCATGTATTTTTGTTGTTGTTTTGGTTAGTCTTTAAGTTTGCTACTTAGATAGATAGATAGATAGATAGATAGATAGATAGATAGATAGATAGATAGATAGATAGATAGATAGATAGATAGATAGATAGATAGATAGATAGATAGAAGAATTCCAACGAGAAACCTTGTAAGGAAAAAGGCATGGGAAATAAGAAGGAGGGGCCATGTTGATAGGCCTCACCTAGACTGGCTGGGCTACATGAAAAAAATAATCTGACCTAGTATAAAGAAGATTCTTTTCTTTGCATCTTTCTTTTGGTTGTGTCCAAAAAGAAAGGATCTAAATGACTGCTGCCAGGAAGCAGCCATTCTGTCTGGCCGTTACAGAAATATGATGTTGGGGAGAAGGGCCTCTCTATCAATTCTGCTGAAGGACCTGTTAGCCTGGGCTCTTCTTTCATCTGTCATCATCAAGTAGCAGTCATTCAATCAGCCTGCAGGAGAGGAAGATGAGAGACAGATTTATTTCCTCAAACCCCACAGAAAGAGTCTTTCTGTCAGTTTAAAAACTATCTATCTAACTACGTATATGAATGCCTTCCCAGGTTTGCTTTTCCTTCCTTTTCCCTCTTCATTTCTTTTTCCTTTTGTGTGAAGCTTTTTAGATTGTGAGAGAAATTGTACTGCCTTTTTTTTTTTTTTAAAGATTATATATCAACCACTCTGCTATCTAGTGAGGTGGGTTAAAATGCTCTAAATAAATACAAAACTTTAGCACTGATTTACTCCAAACTTTGGTATAACCTTTTCTGTGTTTCCTTTAATTATATTAAAAGAGGTGGATATGATCAAAGATGATGATTGTTATGAGAGATGAACCTAGAGGTATTATTGAAGCCCTTCTGTGCATCTTGGAATGGCATATATTTTCATTGGTATTTTCTGCTAGTGGAGTTGCTGACTTCCTTGAACTGAGGAAAAATAGCTTCTCAGAGTAGGATTTCATAGTGAAAACATGTGAAGAGGTCAGTTTTTCAACACAGGATCTGAGAATACTGAGGACAGTTGTGAGTGAACCATAAAATTACTGCAGACAAATATTTGTTGAAAAAATACTTAAATATTTTAGAGTTTTGATGGTTGCCAGAACTAATACCTTCTCACTTTAATGATCATCACGTTCCTACAGAAATATTAGTGATGGTATGTAATACGGGAAGACAACAAACCTTATACCATACAGGTTTACTGTGATGGGGTCAAACTAGATTAAAAAAACACTTTATTAAAAAATAAGTATTTAGTCAGATTCCAAAATTTAAACGGGGTTTCTGAATACTTTAAATTATCTTTAAATTATCTTAAATGGCCACAACAATAAATTGGTTTCAATGTAAATGAAACAAATTATTTAAAAAACAAAATCATGACCTTATGTCAAATGTAAGGTTGAAAGTCACAGTCCTAAATCTGTGCAAACAAGAGCAAGCCCCATGAAATATATGGCTTGATGTAAGTTAGTTGGCCTTAATTCTGAGGACAAATGCAAGGGATTGTGTAATGAAACATATGTGTGAAAGAAACAAAAAACCCCTAGAGAGTCAAAACTTATTTTGTCAGGGAATTGTTTAGATCAATACAATGAGCCATGTGTTCTATCCCTACCGTTTTCCCCCTCCAGGACACACTGAGAATTAGTCCATAATTCAGCACACCTAATTGTGACAACCCCAGACCTACTGGGATATATCACCCTATAATTATGCTGCCACCAACCATTCCCTGTAAGGAGTCACACAGACCAGGAATGGATTTTACTAAACAAAAGAACAAGGTTTATTGAAATAACAAACAGGGTACATAAAAGAATCAGGTAAATAGGATAATGTAACGTGGCATAACCCCAAACACACACATATAACAGATTGGTTCCCCCAGAACCCTTTAAGGTAACGCACAGACCCTGAACCTATCAGTTCTGGCTACCTAAATAGAAACCTGAACCTATCAGGTATGTACTAACTGACACACAGTTGTACCCAGCCTGACACACAGACTCCAACTCCTAACTCTCCACACAAGCTCCAAATATATATACAGTACAGCTCCTCCCCCCTGATGTCCCGCCTTCCACTCCCCATAGGATGGAACTTTCCCTCCAAACCCATGACAGACAGGTACCATCAGTGCTGTATGTGACACCTCCCCTCTTTATAAGTTGTTTTGCAGGGGAAAAGCTAAAGTGCTTTTCTCAAAAAAACAACCAGGATCAAAACACAAAACATTTATACATTATAATACAATACCATACTTACTTTCTCTAGGTCAAACATCTCAATTATGCATTTAAACATTAAAATTTCAATACATTAAGTTACCTTTATTAATACAAACCAAGC